AGCACCTCAAACAAGGTGGCAAAAACTTGGGTCTTAATGCATTAGGCTAAATTAAACAGAAAGCCTCCCCTTGTTTCCAGTAGATACCAAACTGTATCTTGGTTCTGTACAATCTGAGGCCAGTTTTACCTTTTATTCTTAGATGCTTTTTTTCTAAGTGTTCTGGTAAACAAGGTGCTGTGAGAGAGGTAGGTTCACGATGGGGACGCTCCGATTCCACCTACAGCAACAAAAATTAATTCTGAAGTGTAAGACAGTTGGCCATCTGTATGTTAGGAAGAATTATTGCCAAATGTGGTTTGATTTTTTTGGTGTTTGGTTTTTTTGGGGGGTTGGGGTTTTTTTTGGGGGGTTGTTTGGGGTTTTTTTTATCCTTCTCTCCTTCTTTACAGAGCTTTCTTTACTGAGAAAAGCTGAAGATACCTCACTGGCTTCAGTATGAAATGCAGAATGTTGTGTTACTAAGTAATACTCACCATCACAACCAAGTCAAGAGGGGCTTCCAGAACAGAAAAGCCTCAAGCAGTGAATGTGACATGACAATATTTATTGATTCTAATTAAGGTTAAAAAAAGTTCACAGCTGTCAGATAAAAATACCTGCAGAGCCTATTGAAAAGGAAACTTAAGAAGGAAACCAAAGGAGACAGTCACTACAGAGGCACTTGAGAAAATGCTACAGTTATAAAAGGCACAAATTCATCACACACACAGCATATATATTCCTGCAAAAAGAAGTCACTCTTTTTTTCCAAAACACAGAGGCAGGCATCACTGAACACTGACCTGTACATGATCACAGGAGACACGCTATAAGCGGCAGTTTATGACAATGCCTAAACGATTTGACTGTAGAGATACTTTGAAAGCAAGACTGCTTTGGCCATCTCGTTTTTATCTGTATTGAAGAACAGATTGTAAGATCAAGGTGATCTTAAGGTGGTGGAGACGGGAGAGGGAATGTTAGTCCATTTAAACACAGGTCAGGTTTATTTGTGAGCATTTGTAATCTGCGATTTAAGTGGGTTTGCTTCTTGCCTGAGAGCAGTGGCAGATCCATCGTCATTTAATCTTGGCTCCCTTTTGCATCTAAGTACTTTTGGAGAACATACAATTCCTTCTTCCTCAAAAATATTTTTCTTTCATGTCTAAAAAAAAAAAAATCTTAAAATTTCTGCACTTCTGTAAAGTCTACCTCAGTGAAACAGTAGTCCCACTGAGGACACAGGAAGATTATTTTACTAGAAGTCCCTAGCTTCTCCTCCAGGCCTTGGATTCCAGTGATGGACAATGCTCATACTTAATTGTGATTAATGTCTTCGTCGTATTGACAGCAGATGTGCTATTTGGAACCAAGATCTGCACTGAGAAAAAAAATGCACTAGTTAAAGGAAAGACAAGCGGCTGCCTCAGATTGCTCACTTCCTTGTTATTGTTGAGTAGTTTATACAATTAGCTTTCAAGTACTTTGGTTAACACAGATTTTCATGCCATGATCCGATATCCTTTGCAATATACAGTTGCTATCAGAACAGCGTACAGGCAAGTGAACCTCTTTTTTCTGCAAACGCTTAAGAGCCTTACAAAATATGCGTGATAACACAAATCGGTTCATAAGAGACAAATACAATTATTTCCATGGTTGTTCCTATAATACATTTTACGAAGCTGGTAAACTGCTGGAACTTTCATGATAGCAGATTTCCCATCAAACAAACATGTTAATAAACTAAGAACATAGCACGACTGGTTACCCGTCAAACCAGACTTCATTCCTCTCTTTGAAGGGTTGACACGAAGGAATTTTAAAAATGTAAGCCAGTGCTAACAGTTCCCTCTACCCATGGGGAAGCATCTTGATTCTCTACCCACATTTGTCAATTTTCTCATTACACTGGCATCCACATACACAAAGTGCCACATATTCCTTTTATGTGGAAGATGTCTAGAAGACAGCAGCAAATCCTTCTTTTTAATCCCATAGTGGTGATAAGCTCCACAGCATAATCATAGCAAGACACGGCTGTAAAGACAAAGAGAGCATTCCTAATGCTTTGGCAGTCTGGAAGGAAGAAGACAGAGACTTTTGAGTGCTAATACAGATGTTGCAATTCAGGCCTCCCAGCTCCATCAGATTTGGCTAGAAGTCTCAGGGGATCCAAATTTAATTTGAGATTTCAAGTCGCACCGACTTTTAGTTGTGGCAGAATAACATGAGAAATGCTTTGTGGTAGATTTTTTTTTTCCCCATTTTTGTTTCACTTTGAAACTAAGAATAAGAAAGGTTTATAACTATATACACTTTTTTTTTTTAAAATTGGCCAATCTCATGAAAAGCTTTGGTTATGATTCAGTTCAGTTCTAACTATACCTAATTTCTGTTTTTCCTTGGATTTTCTGCCCCTGTGGCACACATGTCCTTGTTAGACTGGGAAAAACCTCTGCCAGATTCAGGAGCAAAGAAGAGAGATACATTTTGGGTGTGAATAAAACCAATTTATTCTCATTAGTCTCATACGGATCTGCTCCCCTTTAGAGACCTGCAGAGTATTTCTAGGGCAGAAGCAGGACTTGAATTCCAAACAGTTTTGGCAGAGAAATCATCTGCAAATGCAGCAGTTCTTTATATGTTAAGTATGTAGTCACCATCTAGCACTTACAAAAATTGGGTCAAGACTTTAAAAATGTCTTCCCACATTTAGGTTCCTATGTTTTTTTCTGGCCTGAGAATTGCCTGAGTTGCAAAAGCTCTGAACTGACACAGTTCCCATTCAGCTTTCGGTTCCTAATTCATTTAGTAAATAAATCACACAGAGAGAAAGCCATGTAGAAGCACTCTGTGGTAGGCAAATGTCCCAGCCAATTAGCGCTCTATGTGATACAACGAGAAAGGCCATACGTACGCTGCTGCACTGTTCTTCTGACTTGAAGATCTTTATGTCTGAAAAGTTCCCCTAGGCATTTTAAAAGGCTGTTATGAGGATATTAATTTATGACAAAATCCAAGCTGCCGCTATGAGAAGATTTTTAACTGGCACATCAAGTTAAAAAGAATGAAACCTAAGGGCCAGAAACTGATGCGCTGCTCACAAATATTGCAGCTTTATAAGTAGTTCAGTGGATTTCCATGGGACTATTTGGAGAATGAAGTACTACTCTGCACAAGCAAGATCAGATGCTAGCCCAAAAAGTCTGCCTGAGAATGTCGATACAGTTCCTCTACCGTCTGCTCACACTAGTTGCTGAATATATTTTTATACTTCCCTCCATGGCTTTTTACTGCAATGTAATCTTTTACATACAGATTGGCACTGGTTGAAGGGAGAAGTGCAGCAAACAGGCTCAGAAAAATCCCAGACATCTCAAACTTCATGTGCACCAAATCCTGTTCTCAGTTATACCCGTGTCTTCCTGTTTTGTGTTGTGCAGATGTAAAACAGCAGAAATACCTAGAACAAGGTACCATCACGTTGACAGGTAGGCACCTAAGGCTTTGGTGGTTGGGTTTTTTTCGTTTCCTTTTTCTTTTTTCTTCCTTCTTTTTTTTCCTTTTCTTTTTTTTTACATTGTTTGAAAGGTACCAAGCTAGGGAGGCCAGAAGCACTTGCATGTGACTATCCTACCATGGTTCTCTTTGATCTCTCTATCATTTAGATCCTTGATTAGTTACCAGAAGTGCACAGTCAGTAGAACACAGCACAGCAGGCAGAAGTGGAAGTGCTAATCCCATCAATATGGTTGTTAGGAGAGACCCAAGCTCTGAATCAGCTAAGCTGTGTTCAGCATGAAGCAAGTGCTGGGGGGCAGCTAAGTTGGGTTTTTTGTTGGTTTTGTTTTTGTTTTCTCTAATGCTTATGCTACATTTTCAAGCCCGTTGTGCCCTACCAGGCAAGAGACAGCCTCAAGGTGTTCAAAGTATAAATTTAAAGTAGATGAAAGAAAGGAAGGAGATAAGAAAAAAATCTGTAAAAGTTTTTTATGGACAGCTTTACAACTTCCTGGGGTAGGCAGAGGTTAATTTGTTCTCTTGCTATCTTGCAGCAACTTAGGGAGCTAAAAGAGGACCTTGGAGGCAAAGAGATGTCAGACAGGGTGAGAAAGGTTTGAAAGGCTGTGTCTGTACATTAGCACAAGGTTCCCCATTCACACTCAGGTCCAACAGCCTGATCTGCCATACTGCTGTACACACCAGTTAGTCTGGAGCCTGCCAGTTTTCTAGGCAGAGGAGATCTGATCCCGCACAGGGACGGACTGGACTGGGACACACGAGCTCTGCCATTCCAGGCAGTGTGAATGCAGCTGGGGAGCCTGAAATTCAACCACATTGCCAAAGGCAGTACAAACATTGTCCTTCAACTCCCTGTAAGACAAGTATGCCACTGGAAATGCCAACAACCTGTGGCCACACTTGCATAGTTTGGACGAATAAATTTAGCCTGACTTGTGCCTTAGGTGCTGCCTGGGCTCAGGACATTTGGGTGAAAAATAAAACCACTAAAAAGATCCTTACCAGCAATTTGCATGAACTAGTTAATTTTTCTTTAAGCTATGGATTTCTTTTCTCAGTCTACCACACAGGAAGGGAGAAATCGTTCGTCTACAACTAGAGATGGAAGTGCCTGTGAAGACTTGGAGTTCAGGGTCGGGTTCAGATAGAAGTGTAAAAACAACTGGAAATCTCATCAGAACAGGCTTTACAGAGCTATTTTTTTCATTTCTGTTCTGAAAACTGGATAAAAACCTCAAGGTGATAACGCTTGGCAGGGTATCCTAGAAATTCAACAACCGAAAAGTTACTGCTAGAAGCAAGCCTGGGATTCAAGGGATTCTTTTTCAATATGGATCCTCTTCCTTTATCCCTCCCCTCCAGCCTCTTCTCTCTATTCTTTTCTTGTCCTCCCCAGTCCTGATCTGATTTTGGAGACAGGGAAGTACATGCCAAAAAAAACTCCGAAAACAAGAAAAATCACTCAAGTGTGAGGCTTTGCGTTGGCACCTTTTTCAGTTTCGAACTAGAAGTCCCTTTCTGTAGGCAAATAACCCAGCCGCAGCCACAGAGGTGAAGAAAGTGGAAAATCCAATCAGCTTTAGCAGTCCCGGCACAGACGGCAAGTTCCTCTCCCAGAAGGTTGTAGTGATGGGCAAAGCTGGAACATCCTGCGGGGAGAGCATCCATTATCAACATAACATCTCCACTGTGAGAGGCAGGCTGTAAATCGAGAGATTCTTGCGGCAGAAACAGAACCGGGTTGAAGCAGTTCACGTTATCAAGAAGTACAGCGTATCAAACTTTTCTGCTCAGGTAAAGAGAAGAAGAGGAGACACATGGAAAGGATTCATAGCCCAGTTAAAAAGCGCAGCTCTTTCTGATCCTGCATTACAGAGTTGTCAGCTGGGTGCCCTCTCTGAGTTTCTATCACGTTCCTGTTTAGGGAAGGGCAGTTATGGTGAGGAAGGGAAAGTTTATTTTGGCTTTGATTTAGTGAACTTAAAATTTTGTTGGCTGTTTTTATTTATCTCATCAGCAAAACCTCAGGAAAAGAGTAATCCATTTAATCTACAGAAAGACTTACAATTGATTCAGGTTCTGGCTTCCAAATTTCACTGTCTGGGATTTTCCTCATAGCAAACAATATCTGAAAATAGATAACATTCTCTAGTAAGTACCATTCATTCTTTGAAAGGGAAAAAGAGCTGGCTTCAATTTTTGTTTTAAAATGGCATGATGAAGATAACAATTGAGCACATAAATTGCTGTGTATTCAAGTTTTAAAAGAAAAGTCGACCTTTGTACAACTCATTTCTGGGGAGGCCTGATATTTAATAAGATACTCCTCCTAGTGGAAAACAGAAACAGTAACAGAAAAACCTCTCTATGCTCAGTTAGTCCACACGAGATATCGGGACTTGACTAGTCCCATAGGAACAAAGTAATATGAATATGACTAAGAGTTAAGTACCCGCTCATGGCAAAGTGAGGCGTGCATAAACCAGCTACTGCATGGGCAAGATGTATAGCCAGGAGTAGCTTGTTTTGCAAATTTTATCGTGATACAGGAGGAGGAACAGAATCCTGTGAGTGGTGACAGACCACCACTTTCAGCCAGAGAAAAGCAAGACTAAAAAGAAAACCTTCACCGTGGAAAAGTAACCAAAGTAACCAAAGTATCAAAGATACCAGAGATCAGTAGGATAGTAACGATTATCTGAAATGATAGTCATGAAAGACAGCAAGATTAACTTCTTTTACAGTAAAATAAAATGGAAGTGGTGGTATTAATGTTTTTCCTATTCCAGGCACTTGGAGATTTAAGATTTGCCGTCTTTTACGATGGGCTTTTATTCTAGACAAGATTCATGGACCCTGTCAACTTTTCAATACAGGAGAGTGAGAAACACCCTTGCACGAGATTTTAAACACATTTTCCTTTCACAAGTAAATAAGGAAAGGAAAACATAAAAATTTTTTACCAGTCAAGCTCACTTACCAACTTCTCTGCTGAGACCTATGGAGGTTCTGCTGTAAAGTCCTTACATTACAGAGGTCATGAAGTACTATCTCTGGAGGTTTTCAGGAATAGGTTAGGTATAACCTTCACAAATGGGACAGCTGACCCCTGTCTTTTGGGGCAGGGGTATGGGCTAGACAAACTCTCCAGATCCCTTCCAGGCCAACTTCTGTTCCACGACTGTAGTTTTTAGCCACAAGGTTCCCTTCACCTCATAAAACAAAGATGAAATTTCTTCTGCTGCTCTATAAACTGTAATATTCCTGAAAATACTTGAGGAACTGGAATTTTCTCAGAAGCAAAATATTTAGGTCTTTGTTTAACAACTTTATGTAAGGCTGTCTCAATGGTATATCACTGCGTCAATGGTATTGTTGGAAACAGTTGAGGAAGGGACTGGCTTGGTGTGCAGAGCTGCAGAACTGAGCTGTTCCTAGCGAGGCTAATGGCCACGATCTCTCAGTACAATGACTAACAAAGCACCCATTTGGGGGAAAAAATGACTAGGTAAGAATTTGGGATTTCTGTTAGAGAAGAAAGGATTTCACTCCTGGAAACAAAGAAGCAGATGAAATAGCCAGAACCCTGCCTAAGCATTCAAAATCTAAGTGCAAAACCTTCATCCTTTTTCAAGTCTATCGCCTTTGCAGGGATTTGCATCAAGATTTCATAACGCCTGAAGCTGTCAACACTCAGTTCCCATTGCACTTCCAACCAGAAGATCTTTCATTTTCCATAGGATATTTGACAGTGCCCCCTGTTTTGGGCTTGCATCTGTACCTCTCTGGCTGCTCTTTCTCCAGCCTGTACAGCCCCCTCCATGTAGCCGCTCCACTCTGTGGCTGTCTCTGTGCCAGCAAAATAGATCCTGCCAACGGGCTGCCGAATAATCCTGGAGGGGGACAAGCGGTAAGTCATATCAGCCATATTGGGAAAGATAACTGAAATCCTTGGGTTAATATTAGAATAAAAGTGTTTTAAATAACAGTGAGCACTTAAAGATAGTAACTTTGAGTGAGTTGAGCTGGAGGGGGAGTCTGTATTGCATTTCATTTCTTACAGTAAACACACCAGTGTTCATATTTTCTAAATATTTACACTGCAATTCTTGCAATGTTATTTCTAGTTGTGAATCTAGCGCTCATACGTGTGAAGGACAATTAGCTTGAGATGAGGCTTATTCTATCTCACAATTTTAGACAGTGTCATAAATACCAATGCTAGACATTACTGGCACAATGTAGCATTCTGAAGTACAGCCCCATGATATCTAAAGTAACAAGAAAAAAAAAAAAGAAAAAAATTTTTTTAATCCTATTTTTGCCAGAATTTGCAATAATTATCTTTAAAATTACTTTAAAAACTAAGGCCTCCGTATGCTCTTCATTACAACTGCTTTATTGCTCTATGTTCCTTTTAAATTGTGAAAACTTATACTTCAAAAGTAGGGCTATGCCACCACATTAAAAACTATGTATCTGAATCCAATCACCAGTCTGACCAGCAAGCCTTTTTCTTTTTGGTAAATCTTATTTTCGTGCAAAAACTTTTGTCAGAAAGGACTGTATACAATGGCACACTGATTGCTATATTAAGCCTTGACTGCTAAAAGGAAAGGAACAGTCCAAAGAAATCACTTATTACTGTCAGTGTTGTCAGGAATTAACACTCTGCCAGTATTTATAGAAAACCAGCTAAAGATGTGCTGGAAATGGTAATGCCGATCTTAAATACCCAATGCCAGTTTTGTAAACAGATTGTGAAAACTTCCCAACTCCCTTCCAAGAACCTAGTCAGCTGTATTCACCAAATAACAGAAGTGAATAAAAACCCCTAATGATACTGTACTTATCCATCATAAAGCCCAACTGAGACAAGTGGAAGGTTATAATATCTCTTAAAATATTCCCCAGTGATCTTAAAGGTATAAAGTGAACAGTGACAGAGGACTTACGACCCTTTCTGAGGATATTTATTAACTTGCTCTTATCTTACTACTCCGAAGCCCACTATAAATAGACACTGTACCTTCCATACTGAGTCATTATGCCTGGTGGGAAGTAGGCTGTGTAGCAGCCGCCAGAATATTGCTCTTCACACCAGTTCTTCTCTTCATAATGCACGGGCTGTAAAACAGAGATTAATTAACTCAAGGAAAGGACAAAGTCCCGAGAAAGCTGATAAAAGAACAGAGGAGACAGCAGAGAAGAATAGCTTATGATTTGTTGCATGTCAACATCTGACAAGACGAGCACATTTAACAAGTCTCTTAATGCAGCATGGATCCGACACAATAAGCCTTAATTTTAGACGCTGCTAGCTATTTTAAAAAAAACCTAGCTAATCTGGCCACTGTAGAACATAATCCTCTTAATATGTCAATGTAAATTTAAGCTTTTAGCACAAATTTATGCTTTGAGCCATGTAAAGCAAAATTAACCTCTGGTGTACACAGGTATAATGCTTGTAATATGTACATTGGAGCTATATATATACTGTTAAAAATGTGAAGTATGGCACTTGCACGGTTCTGCGTACAATATCGTTGTGTTTAAAATGATGTAATCTCAAGATAGGTGCCTACAACTTCTAACCCACATAAAATTGCCCTTAAAGGATAAAAGACGTTGATCACAAACTAAATGTGAGATCACACAAATCCTATCAGTTATTTACTGTTACAGGGAAGAGAAGGCAAGGGAAAGGCAAAAAGAAAAACACATGCAGCAATGAATCTTAGCAACTAGTAAGAGAGAAGAAACATTATGCTCAACATAGACTGAGAGGGAAAGGCAAGCCTGTCACATCTGAAAACAGTTGAGATGTATAGTGGTAAGCACTGGGAATGCCACCCATGAAGCTGGACAAGAACATATCTGCCTTTTAACTGTTTCATAAGCTCATTCTTATCCTCACTATCAACCACAACCCAAGACTTGTCATAACCACCTCTCCACTCCTCTACGGAGGGCAGCAAGCGCTCCTGTAGCCGGTACCTTTTCCAAAATGCTACGCAGCACTGTGCTGGAGCACTGCTGCATTCCGGTTTCATTCTGCCCTTCCCCAGCTCAACAAGTCTGACAAGAGACGCCGTGGTTTAGATTTTATGCTTACATGTAAAGCTTCCTCTGATCCCAGAACCCTTGCATAGAGCTCACACAGCCTCGTCTTCCTGCAAGAGAAAAGCAACAGAAGACTTCTGTGTAAGGAAAGAGAAAACAAACCACCTCTAATATGTCCTAGTTTCAAGAGAACCAGTATTAATATCTCTTGAACTTGAGATTCCAGCTTTTGGGGGATCTATCCTAATTGCTCAGCCTCTGGATCACTAGAGATAACTCACTCAAACTCCTGTGCTGCGTAAGTGCCGGTTTTACCAGCAGTTATGCAAGCTGTTCCCTTAAGATACCTCTAGCAGCCCAAATTCATATATTATCCAAAGGCTCTCTAGGCTGTCAGGAAAATAAAGTAGTAAGGCATTGCACTTTTTTGTCTTGGCACATAGCCTAACTTATGGTTTGTTCCTACAAAGATGCGGGTATTGATAGCCTGAGGCTCTCAGGGAATCAGTACTTTATTTCTGTATCTAAAATTTCCTCCTGTTTTAGTTTATGAGTCTATAAATCCATGAATATACTTCATTCTGTAGCAAACCCCAAGTGCAATTAAGTTTGCTCCTACAAGCTTTTGGGTACTACTGTTTACTGTTAGCCACACTGCACCAATTCCCAAACACAAGAAGATCAAGATGAAATAATAGTTGACAATCACGAAAAACAAACACGCAAACACAACACTGGAAAGACATTTACTGGAAGCAAATCCCGTGCTCCGCAGAAAGCCACGCTGGGCACAGAAATACAGCAGTCCCAGCTCTGTAACCGTATGGGCTACACTTGCAGCTATATAAGCATATGAGGAAACTGTATCTATACTGCTGTATGAAGCAACCCAGCTATACAGGAGTCCAGCTATACCCATGAGCAGCTGAACTCAAAGAATGCTATAGAAAGGGGATGAGGAGAAAAAACAAAACAGGAAGACCTGAAAGGCCTTGAAGAAGATGTCCTCCTGTGCAGGTTGGGGCTTGAGCAGGAAAGTGAAGGCTGCTACAGTTCAGGAAGAGCTGTGGCCCTGGGGTGATTTTGCTGCTGGCAGGTGTCAAGCCCAGCAGCAGCAGCGAGGGGAAGGAAGTGGCCCCTTTCTTGTGCCCTGGGGCGGAGGACAAGGGTCAGCCTGCTCCAGAAGCAGTAATGCATGATGACGCAGTGACTGGCCAGGAGGGCTTGGAGAGCTGCAGGGTCTATATATGAACATCGCTCTGCAGTCAGGGGGTGACATGAATCCAGCAACAGTCATAACAAAAGGGATCATTTCCTCCATCTCTCTCTCTGTCTCTCCCTAAGTGAGGTGACCACCGTGCCCTGCAGACCACCAGCACCTACCCAGTGTCTGAACAGAATAAAGCTATTTTAACAGCATGATCAAGCAAAGCCTCTGCTGAGGTCTGCCCACCACCTCTCACAAATGCCCACCGGCTCCTGCTTTCAGGGCAGGTCAGTAACACCATGGTGCTCCAGAGCAAAGTGAGTTATCACCTTGGGGCACATCTGCTTCTGCTCCTCTCACCACCATGACAGGGATGAGAAGATCTGCCTGTGCCCTACCCTTTTTCCACACGTGACTTCCAGACCCTTCAGGGAGCCTGGAAATGGCATACCAGAGGCTGGTAGGGATTCTCATGTACGACCAACTTCAGGGCTCCAAGAACGTGCAAGGTCACTGCTGTTGGCTAACCACATTGCAAATACAGATAAAGTTAGTTTAAGATAGCTGTGCAAAAGAAAATATTAAGCTTCAGGTGAAGGGCATCTTCAGACTCTTAATAAATTTCGACCTTGGAAGGAATTATTCATCAATAATAAGGTATTATTTGACAGGAAGAAAAAAAACACAGAAATGCAGTTTCTAAAGGATTGAATCGTACCAACAGTAATCTATCACTGAAGACATTCCCCCTAATAAGAGCAATCCTTGTAGATGCACTAGTCTCTCTGCAACATCTGCACTTTTTGTCCTAGAACAGTTTAAATAGGTACTTATTCATGGATTTATGGCTAATGCTAGCATGGAACACGTGGAATATGCAGTGAGTAAAATCTTTATTTCTTGGCTTTGGACTCAGCTGTGAAATTGCCACCAGCACCAAGTAAAAGGAATGTTATGCCTGGAGCTACCTAGGTAGGATCCTGTTGAGAGTTACACTATGCCCAGCGTGGAAGAAGTGTGGAAGCAGCTGCAGACACACAGCTCTTCTCCCTGGTCTCTTATTCCACAGCTGTGCATGATGCCATCACCTTCATTGCACAGCTGTGAAAGGTAGGGCACAATCTAACCGCTGTAATTACTCATTGGCACCTGGCCTGGAGAGACCAGCTGGAAGGCAGCAGTGAGTTTTACTCTCTTCAGTCTGGCTTAGGCTGTAAAATGGTTTCCATGCCCTCCCACAACCGCTGTTCCCAGCCATGACTTAGGATAGCTGCCACAGGCTCTACATCCTACTCTTAATATCCAAGGATTACCAAAAACCTTACCCTGTCATCAACATGATAAAGGGAGAGCCCAGCTTGTGTTGATAGGTGAGCATAGCATCTCAGCGAGATGCATCCTTTGTAGAGTGCCACAAGAAGCCTGTTCTCAGAAGAGATCCCTCCCCGCAAACACCAGAGCCCCCATCTGAACAACACAAACTGGTTGCACCCTGAGCGTACACTGGGAGAAGATCTGGGTTTGTGTTCTGCCTTCTCCTGGACCCTGGTTTCCACTGGAAGGAGACTTGTGCTCATGTGCAGGAGAGGAGCTGCAATGCAGCCCACTGGGGTTGCTCCTGCCTTGGAACTCCCCAGAGGGAGTGAGTGAGCAGCTGTGTGGTGCTTAGTTGCCAGCTGAGGTTAAACCTCGACACTGTGACCAGGACTTTAGGAGCCAGAGGCACCCCTGCCCCCCGCACCAGGGTACCTCTATCGGGTACCAACCCAAGCATATTTCATAAGCATTCTCTACCAAAGCAAAGTCCTTCCTAGTCTAAGGTTGTCCTGGTTTCGGCAGGGATAGAGTTAATTTCCTTCCTAGTAGTTGGTACAGTGCTGTGTTTTGG